ATGGCTTTCCTCGTGGGGCGGTGAAGAAGAGAAAAAGAATTGCTGTGAATGGGAAGGAGTTCAATGTAGCAACACAACTGGGCACATCACTATGATTAATCTAACCACGTATTCGTATGACCAGTTTATCTTAAGAGGTAACCTTAGTCCTTCTCTATTTGAGTTGCAACATTTAATTTATTTAGACCTCAGTGGGAATAATTTCAATTTAAGCCACATTCCAGAGTCTATTAGTTCACTCAACAAAATACACCATCTTGATCTCCATTCTTGTGCTTTAAGTGGATCTCTTCCTAGTCAGCTTGCAAACCTCACAAGTCTACAATATCTTGATCTTAGCTATAACAAATTCAACATCCAAAATCTTGTGTGGCTCTCTCATCTTTCTTACTTGCAGTACCTTCGTTTGAGTGGAAACGACCTTAGTAAGGTCAACAATGATTGGCTGCAAGTAATTAATAAGCTCCCTCATCTAACTAACCTATCTCTATGTGAATGTAATCTTCGAGATGTTGGTTTTGTTTTTTGATGCACAATACCATGTTGGTTTTTTAAAACAAAGAAATGGAGAGAACCGAGAGGAAGATGAAAAACAGAGCATATGCTGAAATGGAGAGAAGTTTATGACTTCAACTCACCTTTTCTCATTAACAAACTCTCCTATATATAGGAGAAAACAAATAATTCAAAATTCAAACTTTTCTACATTAAAATAAAAGTACATTTGAAATTTAAACAAATAACAGCTACTTTTGCCACCTGCTGCGTCCTTTGGCAGCTTTGCAGCCCTTCATTCAGATGCCTTTGCATTTGCATCTGCATTTGCATTTACATGTCATTTGCTGTTGACTGCAGCTTCATTTTCATCAGATTTGCAGCTAAATTGCTGCCATATTTGCTGTCATTTGACAGCTTCCTTGCTGCCATTTCATGGCAGTTTCATTTCACCATTTCTGCAGATTTGAATGCCACATTTCTAACAATAATTCCAACAGTCATTCCCCAGTGTTTCCCCATAATTAATACTACTTCTCTCGTTCACCTTGGTCTAGAAGGCAACAATTAGACTGCTTTCGCATTCCAATGGTTGTTCAACTTTAGCAACAGCCTTGTTAGTCTCTACTTGAGTTCTAATCAATTTCGAGGTCCAATTCCGGAAACTTTTAGTCACATGACTTTTCTGGAAGAGCTTGATCTCTCGAATAATCAATTTGAAGGAGAGATTCCAAAATCCTTTTGGAGTGGTAACTTGTCATCATTGCGAATCTTGAATCTTGCAAAAAATAAATTGAGTGGTACTATACCCACAAGTATTGAACTCCTGTCAAAGCTTGAGGGCTTATATGTTTCAAAGAATAAATTGAATGGTACTGTACCGAAAAGTATTGGGTTGTTGTCAAAGCTTGAGCGCTTATCTATTTCTCTCAATTCTTTTAATGGGGTGATCACTGAGGAACACTTCTCAACACTATCTAAGTTGCAGTACTTGGGCATGTCTGCTAATCATCTGAGCATCAACTTAAGTCGTGATTGGATTCCTCCATTCCAGTTGAGATACATTCTTCTAGGGTCTTGCAAGATGGGACCTGATTTTCCAAGCTGGTTACAGACCCAAAGGAGCTATAAATATCTTAATATTTCTTCAACTGGAATTTCAGATAGCATCCCCATCTGGTTTGCCAACTTGCCTTCTACAGCACGAGGTTTTGATCTTTCTTCTAACCAAATCAGTGGAATTCTTTCAGATTTTTCAAGGAATTTTTCATCTGATTCTTATGACCTAGGGATAGATATAAGTGGAAATCATTTGGAGGGTCCATTGCCATCATTTCCTGCTAATACCACGCACATAAACCTCTCAAAAAATAGTTTTAATGGGTCAATTTCTTCCCTCTGTGCCATGACTGATGTGTCCCTTGAGTTCCTAGATCTTTCGAGGAATCAACTATTTGGAGAGCTTCCTGATTGTATGATGCGATGGTCAAGCCTACGGATTCTAAATTTGGCTAACAATCATTTCCTTGGAAAAATTCCGCGCTTTGTGGGATCTCTCTCATTGATTGAAACGTTTGATTTGCAAAACAACAACCTCTCTGGGAAAATTCCTAGCTCTCTAAGGAACTGTAGTAAATTACAATTTCTGGGTTTGAGTAATAATAGATTGTCTGGAATAATACCAAGTTGGATTGGAGAAAGGTTAAATTCACTGAATTTCCTCCTCCTAAAATCCAATCATTTTATTGGAGAAATCCCATTGGAGACATGTCAGTCGACAAATATTCTGCTGTTGGACCTCTCTAACAACAATCTCTCTGGGCACATACCATGGTGCATTGGTAATCTGACTTCTTTGGCCAGAAAAGACATTGCGGCCCAACATCATTCCTTTAACTCTTCACTTGTTAGTGTTACCTATGGGAGCTATGCTGACAAAGCATCTATTATATGGAAAGGAATAGAATATCCTTGTGAAAATCTCACACTTCAGAGGACAATTGATCTTTCAAGCAACAAATTAACAGGAGAAATTCCAGTCAAAATTTCGAGTCTTTCTGAAATCCATCAATTGAATTTGTCAAGAAACCATTTGATTGGAAGAATTCCATCAGATATAGGGCAGATGAGACAGTTGGAATCGCTTGATCTTTCACACAACAAGCTTTCAGGTCGGCTTCCTCCTAGCATGTCCCAGTTATATTCCCTCAGTAAATTGGACCTATCATATAACAACTTTTCAGGGAAAATTCCAACCAGCACTCAAATGGACACCTTTAATGCTTCTGCATTTGTTGGTAATCCTACACTTTGTGGACCACCTCTAACACCAACATGCCCAGGTGATGAAAAATTGATAGATCATGGTCTCAAATACAATCAACAAGACAAAGATGAATTCTGGAAAGGGTTTAAACCCAGTATGGAACTCGGAATGGCTTTTGGCTTTTTGGGAGTTCTGGCTCTCAAGATGGATCATCCCTGGAAACATGTTTGTTTCTTGCTGTCCAACTACATGAAGGCCTATCTCAGCAACTTGAAAGGCTACCTCTGTTTGATTATGTCAGCACTTTGTTTGGTGATAACAATGAGTGCTGCTAGATTGCGAAGAAAGTTGAAGTTTTAGGATTCATCCCTGGAAGGTATGTCTTAGGTTTGTTTACAACTATATTTCGTCTTGTTCAATTATGAGTGTTACTTTATTGGAAAATAACAGAGGAGAGCACGTTTAATTGTTGTTTGTAGGTTCAAGATGCTTCTTCAGGGACTTCAAGTGCTTCTTTTGAGAGGTGAAATTTCAGCGCTTCCTTTTCAGCAACCCCTGTTTTCGGAACAATTTTTTATTTTTTTTATTTCCTCTATTTGTGTAATAGATTATGGTTTGTTTGTGTGTTTTATGGTTTTATGTATGTTTAATTAATTTCATTATCTAGTCTGTAAGGAGTGAAGACCAAGCTGCGTGTAATTAAAATAAGATTAAATCTTGAATTGTTCAAACCTTTAATTTAGCAACTTTGATGCTTTTGTACTTATTGAGTTTAAATTTTCATTTGCATTTTATTTTCATAGAATTAATAATATTCTGGAATGGTAGTGTATAATTTACCATTAAATTTTTATGCAATTACTCCTGCAAGGAAAGAGATAAACACCCGACTATAGCCCCCATCTAAACCGCTAAGACATACGGTATTGTTTTTATTTATGTTAATTTAAATAATTTAAATAATTTCATTGTTTATTTTGATTAACCCAATGCTTATTGGAGGAGTAGTGGGAGTAAAACATTCCCTCTGGTCCATCTGTTTTTTTTTAAAAAAAAATCCATTTGGTCTCAACTCTTTATTAAAAAATCAATATCTTATTCAATTGGATGTCTATA